GTTTAGTAGAAACAAGTTACTGGTACTTTGTTGTTACCTTTGGTTTAGTAGAAACAAGTACTGGTACTTTGTTGTTACCTTTGGTTTAGTAGAAACAAGTTACTGGTACTTTGTTGTTACCTTTGGTTTAGTAGAAACAAGTAGCAGGTACTTTGTTGTTACCACTGCTGGATAATTAATAACATTTAGTTGTACTCTATTTCCTAAGTGTTAATACTTACTAAAGTTTGTTGTATAACTGTAACAATGGCGATATCTTCACTTCTCTACCGTCAGTTTGAAACTAGCCTTATTTGGCTACTCTTTACAGGTTTCAACATGTGCTGGCTGTGACGAATTTTACCCCTGGGGTGCTGCTGTTGTTGGAACTGTTGGAGGTTTACTGTTCTTCTGCATTCATGTTGTCATTATTGCCATGAAAATCGATGACCCTCTTGATGCTGTAGCAGGTAAGATCTTTGGTGGTCAATATATTGACCAGTTGTTAGACAAAAATACTCTAACGTTTAATATATTGACCAGTTGTTAGACACAAATACCCTAACGTTTAATATATTGACCAGTTGTTAGACACAAATACCCTAACGTTTAATATATTGACCAGTTGTTAGACACAAATACCCTAACGTTTAATATATTGACCAGTTGTTAGACACAAATACCCTAACGTTTAATATATTGACCAGTTGTTAGACACAAATACCCTAACGTTTAATATATTGACCAGTTGTTAGACACAAATACCCTAACGTTTAATATATTGACCAGTTGCTAGAATTGTTAGTTAGAAAACAAATAAATAAATAAATAAATTCTTCCCCACTTGCAAGAAGAAGCAAAATATCATGATAAGTGGCTGGATAACCAGATTATGAAATCTAAAGATCTTGGGGTTAATAGGATAATTTATCTTGGCTAGAAGGTAAATAAGCTATGCAGGGTAAAGCAGTTATTTTGTCTAGCAGATAAAGAAAGGGTTATCTTGGTGTGCACGCGGAGAAAATTATCTTCACTAACGAGAAGCGAAGCTCGCCAAAATACCAGGTCAGATAGAAATGTTATACTGGTTCTGGTTAATAAATATCCGGGTCTTAGGAAGAATAGTTATCTTGGCTTGCAGTTAGAACAGTTATAGTGGCTAGTAGGTATAAAAGTTATCCTGGTTATGGGTAGTAAATAAAGTCAATATCCGGGAGATATTACCCTGGGTAGCGGGTAGGTTCTCGTGCGGTAATATTACTCTGGGTAGCGGGGAGGTTCTCGTGTGGATATATTACCCTGGGCAGCGGATAGGTATCTCGTGTGAGATATTACCCTGGGTAGCGGGGAGGTTCTCGTGTGGAGATATTACCCTGGGTAGCGGGGAGGTTCTCGTGCGGAGATATTACCCTGGGTAACAGGGAGGTTCTCGTGCGGAGATATTACTCTGGGTAGCGGGGAGGTTCTCGTGTGGAGATATTACCCTGGGTAGCAGGGAGGTTCTCGTGTGGATATATTACCCTGAGTGTTCTCGTGGAGATATTACTTTGGGTAGCGGGGAGGTTCTCGTGTGGATATATTACCCTGGGTAGCGGGTAGGTTCTGGTGTGGAGATATTACCCTGGGTAGCAGGGAGGTTCTCGTGTGGAGATATTACCCTGGGTAGCAGGTAGGTTCTGGTGTGGAGATATTACCCTGGGTAGCGGGGAGCTTCTGGTGTGGAGATATTACCTTGGGTAGCAGGGAGGTTCTGGTGTGGAGATATTACCCTGGGTAGCGGGGAGCTTCTGGTGTGGATATATTACCCTGGTTAGCAGGGAGGTTCTGGTGTGAATATATTACCCTGGGTAGCAGGAACTTTAAATATTCTACTTTTCATGTTATCCTAACTATCGTCAGAGAAGATATTACCAGGGAGAAGGAAGAGACGTATATAGAATAAACCTGGGAAATTACTTTGGTAACAATGGTGTCACGTGTACATAAACAACGTACATTTCAAATATTTTTTTTTGTTTATCGATTTATGGCTGTTTCGGATGTTTATTAATTACTCAATAAATATAAAAGGGAAATATGATTAAGGCCGTAAAAGTTGGTCTTTTAATCCTCCCCAAAAATAAAATAATAACAATGAACAGTTATTTTTATGACGTTACACAGTAATAAGCTATTAAGACACTTTGTAACGTGGGTTACAAATTACCACATGTATGTTTACAGTGTTTTATTCTGAGTACAAAGGGGCTACTTGCATTCTACAGCGAGGAATCGAACTTCGGATCTTAGCGTTTAAGTCAGTAAACTTACTGCTGCCATCTGTGAATACAAACTTTTAACACGTCAGTTCCTTTATTATTTAACACCGGTTTCATGACTTCAATGTTCATTCTTCCTTAAGGAATCGAACCCCGGATCTTAGCGTTTAAGTCAGTAAACTTACTGCTGCCATCTGTGAATACAAACTTTTAACACGTCTGTTCCTTTATTATTTAACACCGGTTTCATGACTTCAATGTTCATTCTTCCTTGAGCGATTTTTAACGTTCAAATAACACTTTTCAACTGAACGTAACTAGCCTTAATCAAGTACACATATTTTCCGAATGTACGTACATAAAATGCAATCTTAATCTTAAAGTTAGATAATTAAGATATACTCAAAAATAAATGAGTTTAAGCTTAAATATGCTTTCCTTTTTATATATTCCTTTATGGATTTCGCCTGGCATGGCCAGGTGGTTAGGGCGCTCCACTCGCAATCTATGGGTCGCGGGTTCGAATCCCCGTCACACGAAACATGCTCGCCCTTTCAGCCGTGGGGGCGTTATAATGTGACGGTCAATCCCACTATTCGTTGGTAAAAGAGTAGCCCAAGAGTTGGCGGTGGGTGGTGATGACTAGCTGCCCTCCCTCTAGTCTTGCACTGCTAAATTAGGGACGCCTAGCGCAGATAGCCCTCGTGTAGCTTTGCGCGAAATTCAAAAAACAAACAAACAATATCAAAATAATTAAATTAAACATAATTATTAAGAAATTAATAATTCTTACTTGCGTGTGATAAATGATATCTTACTACATTGTTTAGTGCACTTTGGAGGCGGTTTCTGGGGCCTGATAGCTGCACCGCTATTTAGACGTCATAACGGAATTGTTTTCAAGAATAACTCAGACGCATTAATGGTAAGTTACTCTCGTTCTCAAAATCGTTAAAACAAACAAATAAAAAAAGCCTAACCGGCTTCTGAAAGATATAGCCACATATGAAGAAGTAACTAGATATTTTAATGAGTACGATTGACTGAAGTACAGTACTTAACAATATTGACAGATTGTGAAAATGTACAGAAGTGAAGTTTTACTATGTAAGGACGATTTGTATTTTTATTACAGGGTCTTGCGTGGAACATCGCAGGAATGGCAGCAATCATTGGCTGGAGTACAGTTCTGTCACTTGTTATGTTTGGACTACTAAAAAAATTCTGTATGTTTCGTGTGGATCCGGAAACAGAGATAAAAGGTAACTTTACTGTTTATTTAATATTCTTCAGAATTAAAGACATAAAAGTAGATTATACACCTGTTACACGTAGATTATACACCTGTTACACGTAGATTATACACCTATTACACGTAGATTATACACAGGTTACACGTAGATTATACACCTGTTACACGTAGATTATACACCTGTTACACGTAGATTATACACCTGTTACACGTAGATTATACACCTGTTACACGTACTTTGACTTCGCCTAAGCAACTTAAACTATTTTAATTTTTCACATGCAGGTCTGGATATCATCAAACATGGAGAACCAGCCTATCCTGCTCCCAGCTGGGAAGAAGAACAGTATTACCACCGTTACGCTCAGGATGGAAACCACATACTGAACACAGATGGTGTAAAAGTCAGTAAGTATTTGAAAAGGCTTATAGCTGGTTCTTGTTCTATGTAAGCTGAGAGGTACAATTATTGTTGTTGGTTGTTATTTTTCTATAGGGCAAAGCTAAACAAAAGTGTCTCTTCAGGATGAAACTTAATCGACAATATTTAATAAAAAAAGAATGAATAAACATAAATAACCTCATTAAATACATATTTTTTAAATGTTCAACCGTAAAATACAATCTTTACATAAATGAAATACATTAGAATATACTTAGAAATAAATTAATTCAAGCTTATCCAATGTATTTTCCATCCTTTATCATTTTATTTTGATTGAAGCCCCCTAGTGGCACAGCGTAATGTCTGCGGACTTACAACGCTAGAGTCCGGCGTACGATACCCGTGCTGGGCACAGCACAATTCCCCATTTGGGTAGCTTTGTGCTTAATAACAAACAAATAAAGCACATATTTCGTAAGATAATAAAATAAAAAAAATACATCCGGGACCTGATAGTAAGTATTCTGTGTATCGTTACATATTGAAAAGGAAAACGTGACGTAGTACTAATATGACAACAGGAAAATTTGTAAAAATTACGTCATCACGTGACGTCATTTATTATAATTTACTTCACTAAGCCCTTTTTTTATCTCGTTGAATATAGGTAATGTTAAACCATATATATAGGTAATGTTAAACCATATATATAGGTAATGTTAAACCATATATATAGGTAATGTTAAACCATATATATAGGTAATGTTAAACCATATATATAGGTAATGTTAAACCATACATATAGGTAATGTTAAACCATATATATAGGTAATGTTAAACCATACATATAGGTAATGTTAAACCATATATATAGGTAATGTTAAACCATATATATAGGTAATGTTAAACCATATATATAGGTAATGTTAAACCATATATATATAGGTAATGTTAAACCGTAT